CATATATATATATATATATATATATATGTATATGGAACTTTGCATTACATGTTAGAAGAATTGGCTACTGACATACACAATCTTTCTACTGTCTACCCTAAAGCTGATTCACCATTAATAATTGATTTTCTTTTTTACGGTGCAATACATTAAGTTAAGTACCGTAATTTTTTTTATGCTGATCTGAATTTACGCCAATGCAATAATGAAAAATTGCTGCAGTAATTTTTGCTAGAACAAACTTTAAACTGTCTTTTTTTTTATTTCGAAAGTGTTGAACTGTGCTTAATAGAAATCAAACAGATCACAGTTACGCAAGCAGAAAATATTAATAAAAATTTAAATAATACACATATCTACATTTTGACTGTAATTTTTGGTTTAATTTGGACAAAGTGTAGCCTGCTAATTAGTGCGTCGGGCTGCGGATCGAAATCGTTGAGCATGCCCTGTCATTTCAGCTGTGTGCGCGTTATATATGTGGCAGTCAATTCCATCACTTGGTCCAAAAACGTCAAACAAGGCCTTGAATGTTTTAATCACATGGATCTCTGACCTAACTATTTAAATCTAACTCTTATAAGCATAGGGTGCCACTCAGGTTGAAAATTTTAATTCCAATTCTATTAACATTCTTTAATTTACTTAAAGAAATATAACTATATATATTTTGCAAATAAAAGTGTCTAAGCACACACGCCTTTAAGTATTGTTGTTTATACACATGTTTAAACTGGTAAAAATATTATATATAAACAAAAAAATGATTAAATTAGACTTCGCTGACGATCTTAGCAAATAATATGAATTACTTTACAGATATTATTTACATCTTATAACCTATAGGTTACTGTAAAGGATTTATATATTATTATTATTAGCAAAAAAACTAAATGCACAAAGAGTGGGGAGGGGGGGAGGCAAACAAGCCAGCACCGTAAATTGGCTATAGTGATATAGGGTTTACTTTGACGCCTCATAGTTGAAAGTGCAGTGCATGTTCAGTGGCGTATCGTGACTCTAACCTTGGACCTTCTAATTCGTAGATTTGCACGCTAACCCTTAGGCTAAATCTAATAAATATTGGTTTCAATAACTACAAAGAGAAGTATAATAATCGTCGAGCGAGCAAAAAATAAATTAAACTTAAAGCTGAATAATCTCCAAATATCTCATAATAGTTCAAAAATTCAAATGTCAATTTATTTCAACCAAAATGCGTCCAAACGATAAAGATTTAAATGCAAAACGAAATATTATCAAATCTTCGTCAAGCGTTAAAAAATCTCAACAAAATCTTAGCTTAACCAATTCATTTAAACAAGATGAACTGCAGCACGATAATGTCTTTCATGTCTTTATGTTTTGTTGATTTTACCACTACACTATGTGTAATTAATCAGTATAGTTCAAACGTGAAATTAAAAAAAGGGATATATATTTTAATACACGTATAGGTTCCACTTAATCTCACATATATAACAATAGAAACATAACTGAGTCCCCCGGTCGGTCAGCAGTAAGTTTACGAACTTCCAGTGCTATAATCCAATGTTCAATTCCCACGGAAAAAGCACTGATAGCCCACTTTATAGCTTTGAGCTAAAAATCGTTGATGATAGTTTTCACGTAATTCAAAATAGGCTTAGAGTCAAACCAACTAATTTTGATGACTAATATAGTGTTATGTCATAATATAAAGACTAATTTTGCTGACTATTATAGTGCTATGTCATAATATAAAAAGACTAATTTTGCTGACTAACATAGTGCTATGTCATAATATAAAAAGACTAATTTTGCTGACTAATATAGTGCTATGTCATAATAAAAAAACTAACTTTGCTGACTAATATAGTGCTATTTCATAATATAAAAGACTAATTTTGCTGACTAACATAGTGCTATGTCATAATATAAAGACTAATTTTGCTGACTAACATAGTGCTATGTCATAATATAAAAGACTAATTTTGCTGACTAACATAGTGCTATGTCATAATATAAAGAAAGCAAAATATAACTATGATCATCTCCAACAGAAAATGTACGGCAGAGTACATAATTCGTTTTCGTTTTTAAGTTCTCGCCGATGTATACATTCGTTTCGGTAGCGTATCCAAGAAAATATTGTTGTTTTAAGCAGGACTTACCTATCAAGAACTAAGGTGTAAAATGTTACCCTTTGGATCGAATGTACAATATATTTTGAAGAGTGTTGAAACTACTACATCCAACCTGCTTGTAGTTAGGTCTGCTGAACTCAAAAATTAGTAAAATCCTTTATCGTTAGACATTTCATAAAAATTGTATTATTGCCCATTTTATAAAATTATTTTATGTGTTGCATGCAGATAATAAATCACAAAAATCAATGTCCCATAGGAAGTGAAATCTGATAAAATGTTATCAGAAGCAAAAGCATTCATCAATGCAACATTTATAATATTCAGTATCTTTTCAGTAGTAAAAAGCTTTAAATTACACATCATCAAGACCCGGGATTTCACTCTATTTTAGAGGTAGTAACAATAAGAACAGAATAAATTATGGTCCTTGAATTTTCCAAAT